CATACATACATACATACATACATACATACATACATACATACACACACACACATTCACCTCTGGCCTCCACACACAGTTTTGTGTGTGTGTGTGTGTGTGTGTGTGTGTGTGTATTTTGAGTTGCTTTGGAGACAAGCCTGTGTCAGGAGTCTTGTATCCTCGAGAGTTAAATATTTCTCTGGGTTCCTCTGGAACCTAAAGGCTCAGTCCTAGAGACTGGACACTGGTTTCCATAGCACTAGATAGGTCGAGGCTGGGACATGAATTACTGTTTTCTGGGGAAAGAGGTGATTGACAGCCTTATTGTGAAATACCCCTCTCTCCCACAGGGTGTCTGAGGTACAGCCATGGCCTTGTGGTGTTGCATCTGTTCTCCATTGTGTTCCTGGCTGGGCTTCTTGTGGCTGTTCTTGTTCAAGGTCAGGCAGAAGTGGGGTTTTGCACCTCTGGGCTGGCTTTCTGTGAGAGCTGCATCTGGGCCATGTTTAGGGGATTAGGAGGAAATAATAAAAATGGGCCATACTATAGCCTCTAGGGGAGCGAGTGCCCACTCTGGAGCTAAGGGGGGTAAGAGTAGGGACAAGGTCCATGTCCATTTCTTGTAGTAGTACAGCCATCACTATTTTTGTTTTTTTTCTCTTTAAATGTTATTAGAGAAGATTTCTGCTGCAAGGATCCAGAGCAGGTTATGACACACAGAGAGCATTTTACGATTATAGTTTCTGGATTTTTCATGCAGGTTTTAAGGGCCCGAGCTCCTCAGAGAATGAGAAAATCTACAAGCAACTGATGCAACTGGAGACTGGAGTGGGTAAGTGAGCAGAAATCAGGCGTTAGGAACTGAGAAGGTCTCCTTCTGAAGGCACTATGCTTGAGATATTGACCCTCTCCAGACCTCAGTTTCCACTCCTGTGGGGACTTGATGTCTCAATTGGTAAAGTGCTCACCATACAGAATCTGAGTTTGAGTCACAGAACCTACATTTTTAAATGCATGGGGATGTATGTATTTAATCCCAGCATTGTAGAAATGCAGACAGATGGGTCCCTGAATGACTGGCCATCCAGATTAGTGCAGGTATACACCTTCACACACACAAATGCATGCATGCACACATGATAAGTAAACAAATTAACAGGAACACAGGACAATAACCAGGGTATCATCTTATGGTCTCAGGGGTGACACACAAAGTAGGCACTCAGTATTCCCAGGAGTCATGGGGATGTGCACACAGTAGGCATTCAGTTTTCACAGTGGCCATGCACACAGTAGTCAAGATACACTCCTGGTCTCTGGTTTGATCTCTTAAGTGCCTGTTTCCCCCAGGATGCAGCGTCAAGTGAGGGAGGGTCCTAAGTCTGGAGGGCTTGAGAAATCCTAAGATCCTGGGCATCCAAGTATGCATCTATACTGATCCACCTTCCCCAATAGACAGCCTTTGCCGTCCTTGCCCCTGGGAATGGACATTCTTCCATAGAAAATGTTATTACTTCTCCAAGTCTCAGCGTAACTGGAATGATTCTATCACTGCTTGCCAGGAAGTGGAGGCTCATCTAGTCATTGTTGAGAGTGACGAAGAACAGGTACGCCTCATGGGGTTCTTTATCCTGGGACAGGGCATGATCATAGAGTCTGAAGGCAATAGTTGGCCAGAAAGTGTTTCTGGTTAAGCAATGCTTACGCCATTTGGAAAGAGGGTGGTGGCAATATGAGAATGAGGGGACCCCTAGCACTCTCTAAGTAGATGCACCAAGTTCTGAACATACATGAATGCTTCAGAAAACTCATAAAGTCATCCGTGTTACTGTAACTCTAGCTCCAAAGGATCTGATGCCTTCTTCTGGCCTCTATGGTACCTGCACTCACATGTCAACCTACCCACACAGAAACACATACACATAATACAAATAATAAAATAAAATGTTTAAAAAGCAATTTAAGAGAAAAGATGCTTTCTTTGCTCACTTTTCTGGGTTACAGTCCATCCTGGCCAGGAAGTCACAGCCACAGGAGCTTGAGAGAGCCAGCCACATGGCATTCACAGTGGCAGAATGTGATGAACGCTGGTGCTCAGCCCACTTTCTCCATTTTCCAAGGCTGAGGGCCTGTGCTCAGGGAATGATTCTGCCCACAGTTAAAATGGCTCTTCTTACATCAATTAATATAGACAACACCTGGTAGGTGTGGCAAGAAGCCTATCACCTATGTGATTCTCAGTTCTGTCAAGTTGACATTTAAAACTATCACATTACCCCAGCTAGCATGCTGGCTAAAAGATAGAAAATTTTTCTGGTGGGGGAAAAATATTGCGGCGTATACTTTTAACCATTTTCTCTGGTGTAAATTATGTCACTGTGTTGCTAATGGGATATCGCTCGATGCAGAGCTAAAAAGATCCTGGGCACTGCTAGCCACCCTGAACCATCTGGCTCTGGCACATTAAAGCTCATAGGTAAGTTTGTGTGGGCATGCTCATCACAGATACTGGCAACACTTCCAGGAACATGTGTGGAGACTTCATCTGTGGATGATCTGTATGTCAGACCTCATTTGGCCACAGGATACAGATGTAAAAGGAGCTCAGACACTGGAGCACGTGTCAGGGGCTCCTCTCAGATATAAGAATAAAACTGGGGAGACACTAGGTGGAAGATATGGGAAATAAGGTCAAAACCCTACTGAACACTCTCTTTCCTTTCCAGACATTCCTGAGTGTGATTTCTAAGGATAAAGGATCGGCCTGGATGGGTCTCTCAGACTTGAAACGGGAAGGCAAGTGGCAGTGGGTAGATGGCTCACCTTTGTCAGACAGGTAACCCTGGGAACAGGGACCATCACAGAGAGTGGGATGGGGTTGTGAAACTCTGACTTGAGCTGTCCTCCAAGTTCTTTGCCACTCCCTAGCTGCCTTAGGCTTAAGTGTCCATGACAGTCAGTGGGGCAGGAGTCTGTCTTCATATCCATGCTCAGATAGGATGGTATAGGACTTTTAATTTCTATAATCAGAGTGGCACTATCAATTTGCAGTTTGTTTGGGTTGTTCAAATAAAGTGTATTAAATAGTTGGGGAGGGGAATACTTGAGCCAGTAAAGTGCTGGCTTTGCAAGAACCTGAATTTGATCACCAGAACCCACTTTAAAAAATAAGCTGGTATCTCATAACGCCATCTGAGTTACTTGAGCGGAAGTTAAAGACTGGTCATAAGACAGAGTAAACAAGATGTTGTCAGAGCACTGTGCGGCCTGGAAGATGACTTTGTGGGAAAGTGTTTATCTTGCAAGAATGAAGATCTGAGTTCAACCCCCAACAGAAAAACACGTATAAGAAAATCTAGGTGTGGTGACATATACCTGTATTTCTGGTGCTGAGCATGGTGTCACAGGCCTGTGTGCTGAGGAGGCAAAGACAAGATCATTCCTAAAGGCTACTGGCCAGCTACTTTAGCTTCATTGGTTAACTTCATGTTCAGCAAAGACCCTTTCTTTAAAAATATAAGGTTGTGGCAAGTGAGCTGGTTCATTCAGTAAAGTGCCTAGCATGCAAGCATAAAGACTGAGTTTAGGTTTACAGCACCCACAAAAAAATGGGGTGGTAACAAACATCTTTTATCCTAGCCCTAGAGAGCCAAGACAGACAGATCTCTGGTGCTCTCTCGCCCAGGCAATCAGTGACGTACAGGTTCAGCAAGGAACCATGTTTCAAAATATGATGTGGCTCCGGTGTGGTGGCACACACCTTTAATTCCTGCACTCCTGACACAGCGACAGGCAGATCTGTGAATCTGAGGCCAGCCTGATCTACACAGTGAGTTTCAGAACATCCTGCGCTACAAAGAGAGATCCTATTTCAAAATAGAGAGAGAGAGAGAGAGAGAGAGAGAGAGAGAGAGAGAGAGAGAGAGAGAGAGAGGAAGGGAGGAAGGGAGAAAGAAAAAAGAGAGTAAGAAAGAAATAGAACATTTGAGGAATAACCAAATCAGACCATTTATGTGAACCTCTGACCTCCACATGCAAGTGTTCAAACATTCACACAAACATATATAAAGCACACACACACACACACTAAAATGAATAGCAACCGATGAAGACACCTGACATTTACCTGCAGACACAAGTTCGTGTACTTATGATCATGGGTATCCATAACCAGACATGTACTCACACAATGTCACACACAACACAGAGAGAGGACAGAGTGAGAGGAGGAAGAGCGATCTCGTTGTTATCTCAGGAATAAGTAAGTGAAACATAGGTTAGCAGCATTACCTGTTTTAGGTCATCTAGAATGTTCTGTGTAAGGGAAGTCCACAATGTGGTTTGCAGACTGTAACTTGATTTTAGGCCCCAGTTATCATGGGTGTAAGTTTGTGTGTGAAGTATGTGGACATGTTCATGTGTATGAATGGATGTGTGAAGCTGCGTGTACATGTGTGTGTGCATGCAGAAAGCCATAATTGCTGTCTGGTGCCTTCCTCTACTACTCGTCACATAATTCTCAGTTACATTTTAAAATATGTGTGTGTGTGTGTGTGTGTGTATGTATGTATGCACAAGGGTTAGGTTCCTACATTGGCCAGAAGAAGGAATTGGGCCAGCTAGAGCTGAAGTTACAGGCTGTAGTGAGTGCTCTTACATGAGTTCTGGAAAACTACCTTAGGTTATCTGGAAGAGCAGTAAGTGTTCTTAACTTCTAAGCTATCTCTTCAGACACATTTCACTGTATTTATACTGTGTGTGTGTCTGTGTGTGTGTGTGTGTATGTGTGTGTGTGTGTGTGTGTGAGAGAGAGAGACAGAGACAGAGGCAGAAAGAGAGACAAAAGGAGACAGAGACAGAGAGAGATACATCCATATGTGTTTATATAAATCTGTACCATATAAGTGTACATTAGCATGCACATGTACATGTGTGAGTGCAGGCATGTGTGTAACATGCTGGTCAAAGAACAACCCCAGATATTAGTCCTTGCCTTCCAGCTTGTCTAAAGCAGAGTCTCTTGTGGTTTGTTACTATATATTCCAGGCTAGCTGGCTCATAAGTTTCTACATATTCTCCTGTATCTGCCTCTAATCTCACAGTAGAAGCATTGGGATTAAAATGAACACTACCATACCAAGCTCTACACAAGTGGCTGAGGTTTGAACTCAGGCCCTCACATTTGGACAATGAGCTCTTTACTCAGTGAACTATCTCCCCTGCCTCTCTCATGGATTTTACAGCTTCAAGAATTATCAGAAGAAAAAGGAACCTGGCAAAGAGGAAGAAGTCTGTGCAGAAGTTACAGGTAACCTCTGGACTCCTGACAAATGTGAACTTAAGAAATTTTGGATCTGTGAGAAACCTGAAGCCTCCTGTCCAGTAAGAAAAGTCTGATTTTTCTGCAGTCTGTGATGTTGGACATCCCTGATAGACATCAGTAATTTACCCACATTAATGAGATTTCAACATTTGCTCTGGGACTCTTCCATGTCTTATCAACTTTATCAACTGTGAGATAGCAACTCTGGTAGTGGTTCCGAACCTTTCTCACACTGTGACCCTTTAATACAGTTCTTCATGTTGTGGTGACCTCCAAACATAAAATTATTTTGTTGCTATTTCTTAACTGTAATTTTATGAATCATATTGTAGACATTTGAAATATAGGATATCTGATATGCTACCCCAAAAGGGTTATGACTCACAGGTTGATAACCACAAGCCTATGGAATTGGATCATTTATACTCTTCCTCCAATGTCTCCATGTGTTGTACAGCAATTTCCTCCAACTTGAAGCATTCTACCATAGAAGGTAGCCCATTAAGACTTTGGGAGTTTGGGGGTGATGGTGCTATGGTTCAGAATTTAGGAGCATTTGCTAAGTTGGCAGAAAATATGGGTTTACGGAGAGATGAGTTATTAGTTAAGAGTTCTTGTTGCTTTTGCAGAGGACAGGGTTTTGGTTTCCTGTACTCATGTTGGATGGCTCACAGTCACCGGTAACTTAAGCTCCATGGGATCTGGCACCTTTTCCGGGGCTCTGTGGGCATACGCACTGAGGTGCACATATCTACACACAGATACACAGATACACATAATGAAAATGAAATGTTTTTATAAAAAGAAGCAAGAAGTTCTATAGGTAGTCTCATTAAGACTCAGGAAGAAAACAGTGCACAAGTTTCAAGAAATCCCTGAAACTTACCAGATGCACAAAATACCTCCCTCAGTAAAGTAATGTGTAAAGAGCAGTAAGGAGTGATGAGGAGACTTTCTGACCTCTAGGGATGCCTACAAGTCACTGATTTCATGAGTTATCATCTATGCTGTGGTGGGATGTGGACACATAGCTGCTGTCTTTGAGTCATTTCTGTTCGTGTAAGTAACTCTTCAAAAATATTATTGTAAGTAACCCAAATAAACTCAATGGTTCACAAATTAGCCTTTGTAGGTACGGGTGAGGACACATCTTTCCATGTCTTGCCAGCAATAGCAATATACAATGTATGTTTCTTCTTGACAGCAATAGCAATATACAATGTATGTTTCTCCTTGACAGCAATAGCAATATACAATGTATGTTTCTCCTTGACAGCAATAGCAATATACAATGTATGTTTCTCCTTGACTTTGAGGTTGTGGCTGAGACATCCTTGCATTTCATATGAACACATTCATATAATGTAACATCTTCTCCTTAAGATGTTAGAGGGTTTGCAAGGCCATCCTTGCAAGGCCATTGTATCTAAATTTTCCTCATTGATCTACCCCACCCCCATATACTTTCTGTATTAGCTACTTGTCATATTGCTACAAATAAGACAACACTGAAAGTGCGTAACACCTGACAAAAGGAACTGAAGGGATGAAGGGTTGATCTTTGACTCATAGTATGAGGGTACCATGGCAGGTGGGGTATGGCTACAGGCATGTGCCTGTAAATTCAGCTCCAAGGGATTTGATAAACTTCTATGGCCTGTGTGGGCATGTATACACACACACACACACACACACACACACACACACACACACACACACGTTAATAAAATATTTTTATGATGGAAAGGAAATTGCCTTGAGATCCAGCCAGCCTGACTCACCTTGTGCTCTGGCCCAGGCTGCTGACTCCTATCTTTTCTCTGAGTCTCCTGAACTCATCCTGATCCTCTGACAAGACCAGACCCTAAGCCCACAGCTCCTATCCTGTCTGAGGAGGCCTGTTCACGCCTTTTAATCTTCCCAGTTTGGACCAGGATGTACATCCAGTGTGCCATTCAAACCTTTCTGGATGCCACACTTCGTGCCACAAAACCTCAATCATTTGATTTTACCAATGAAGACTCAGGAGCCAAATGCTGTAATAAAACCCTACTAGCGCAGACAGGCAGAAAAAGCACCTAACTGAACTTTTTCCTCAGCTAACATCCATAAAAAGAACTCTCCTTCTTCCTGTCATCTCAAAACCCTTCAAACTGAAAGCCCCTCCTTTCCAGTTCCTGTGTGGTTCTCTATCCGCCCTCCTATCTTCCCCTCACTCCCTATCATTGTTCTCTGCTCACTTCCTTTTGACTAGTTGCTTTCTCCACCTCTTGTTTACAATAAGCCAGTTATCTCTTGAATCTCTTGGATCAAATGTGTGTGTGGTAAGGATGAGCTACATCAAACTAGAAACAGGTTTTTTCCAGTAAGTATCAATCTCTGGGTTCACACTGTGAACAAATTTCCTGCAAGATTTCTTCCTTTCAGTCAAAAAAAGGAAAGATTCTAACTAAAACACAGTAACACTATTCACAGTAATAAAGCTATTTCTGCCAGGCTTTCCACAATGTCCAGCTTGATTGTACTTGGCAATCTTAGGATTAACTATTTTTGAGTTCAAAAGTTCTGTAAAATGCTCATGTCAGTCTCTTATGAATTCAACGATTTGAATGTCCTGAGTTAGTAATATGAAACTGGTCTTTGGGTGGTGTTTGTCAGCTTAGTGGCAATCCTGGCTAGGTAGAACACAGCAGCTAGCCCAAATGTGTTTACTGTTTTGCTCAGAACCTGGCTGCAGAAGAGGCATGGGGCAGTTTTTCCCAGTGGTTAGTATTCTCACAATCCAGGAGGATGTATCATTGAAGGGCCCATCACCTTAGAGACCTCAAAGGTTAATGTTAGGAATGATAGAAAAGTTACTCATTTTAAATACCATATTCAGCAGATCTCAAAAAGGTTTGAGGACCACAATCTATTAAGTACATCTGAGGTGCACAAAATTTGTTTCTAGTTACCTGCTTCAGACACAAACCTGAAAACATGCACAGGAAGCTAGATGAAGCTTATTTCTAGAGTTAGTATTCTGCATGACTACTAGCATCACAACAGAAAGAATATATATACATATACATATACATATACATATACATATACATATACATATACATATACATATATATGATTTTGAAATAATATTTATTCCTTAAGAAAAGTTTTAAAGAGTTAAATGAAAATCAAAAGATCATGTCCTTTATATATTTCTTTTTGTTTTGTTTTCCTTTGTCCCATAGCAAGCAGCTTCTTTTTATTTTCCTTTAACAAGCATGTGTGGGTTTAGAGAAGACCCATGCTTCAACCAGGAAGCCAGCTTTAATTTCTAATTGAATTGGGACTACATAAAGACCATTTGCCGCTTATGTCTTTTGAGGGCAGCAGAGACAAGCGGCTGATACCACTTAGCCAATTTCCTTTTTTTTTTTTTTTTTTTTTGGGATATAGTCTTTTGATGAACTGTCCTCGTTCTTCAATTGTTTCAATTTTCCAGTAGTTTCCAGATTAGTGGACACTTTTATTCTCCTGGAAAAATAAAGACAAAAACCTTGCCCCAGTTTTAACTCTGGTATGCTCCTTTTTTGGCAAGTTATATCTTTCCTAAGGGATTTTACTGTTTTTTGAAAACAGTAAAAGTATTATCTTACCATTGAAATTTTTAAAATTCTTTTGAAAATTTAAAACTAATAAACATTAGTATGTGTGGTAAATATTCCTGTATTCCCCTTTCTCTTTATATACAAATTCAAAGGTTAAGTGTATTTGGTTTTAGACCAAAAAGGACATTCAATTCACTTTGAATCTCAGCTCACCTTTTGTAACTGACTTCTAAATTTAAATCACTGTAACTCTTATGTGCCTGCCAAGTGTTCGAATTAAAGGCATGTGCCTCCCAAGTGCTGAGATTAAAGATGTAAACTACCACTTGACTATGGATTCCTTTTAATAGTTATCCTATTTTCATTAATTAATTAATTAATTAATTAATTAATTAACTAATTAATTCAATTTACATCCTACTCATAGGCCACCCTATTCCTTCATCCCCCCCACATAGCCCCATCCCCTCTCCCCTTCTACTCTGAGAATGGGGACCCCCCCTCTTGTGGATAGCAACATACTCTGGCACATCAAGTAACGACAGGACTAGGCACATCCTCTCCCACTGAAGCCAGAAAAAGTGGCCCAGTTAGGGGATCAGGATCCACAGGAAGGCAACAGTTTCACGGACAGCTCCACTCCAATTGTTGGAGGACCCACAAGAAGACCAAGCTGCACATCTGCCACATATGTGCTGAGGACCTAAGTCCACCCCATGTTTACTCTTTGGTTAATAGTTCAGTCTCTGGGAGGCTCCAAGAGCCCAGTTACTTGAATTTTTTGGTCTTTTGTGTAGTCCTTATCACATTTGGGCCCCTTAATTCTTCCACAAGACTCCACAAGTTTTATGGAATCCATCTAATGTTTGGCTGTGGGTCACTATATTAGTTTCCATCAGACGCTATGTAGAAATGCTCAGAGGACAGTTATGCTAGGCTCCTGTCTGCAAGCATAACAGAAGATCATTAATAGTGTCAGGAATTAGTTCTTGACCATGGGATGTGTCTCAGGTTGGGCCAGTCATTGGTTGGCCATCTCCTCCTTCTCTGCCCCATCTTTATCTATGCACTAGTTGTAGGCAGAACACGTTTCAGGTTGAAGGGTTAGTGGGTGGGTTGCTGTCCTTATCCCTCCACTGGGAATCTTACCTGGCTATAAGTGGTGGACACTTCGGGTCCCATATCCCCCACTGATAGGTGTCTCAGCTAGAGTCACCCCCATAGAATCACTAGAGTCTCCCTCATCCCATATCTCTGGCACATCCTAAGCTGCCTCCACCCCCCAGCCTTCCCATGGCCAATTATCTCAGAGTAAATGGCAGGGGGAAGAGGTTTTCCAAGCAAATAGACCCAAGAAACAAGCTGGAGTCGGTATTCTAACATCTAATAAAATAGTTTAATTGATCTGAATTTAATTTTAGTAAGTAGTATCTGTAAGTAAGTAGTATCTGTAAGTAAGTAGTATCATCCATTGCATTTAGATTTTCTAATTTTGTGGAGTAATACCTAATAATTCTTTGGATTTCCTCAGTAAATGTTATATCTCCCTTTCTATTTCTGATTTTGTTAATTTGGGCAGTTTCTCTGCCTTTTAGTTATTTGGCTAAAGGTTTGTCTATCTTGTTAATTTTCTCAAAGAACCAGCTCTTGATTTCATTGTTTCTTTGTATATTTCTCTTTGTTTCTAATTGGTTGATTTCAGCCCTGAGTTTGATTATTTCCTGCCATTTACTCCTCTTGTGTGTGTCTTCTTCTTCTCTTCTTTTCCTCCTCCTCCTCCTCCTCCTCCTCCTCCTCCTCCTCCTCCTCCTCCTCCTCCTCCTTCTTCATATAGCTTTCAGTTGTTTTAAATTGCTAGCGTGAGTACTCTAATTTCTTTACATAGTATTCTTAGGACTGTTTTCATTGCTTCCCATAAGTTTGGTTATGTCATTGAATTCTAGAATTGTTTTTTTTTTTATTTCTTCTCAGAACCTGTGATTAGAGAGTGTTCAGTTTTCATGAGTATGTAGGTGTTCTGTGGCTCTTGTTGTTTTTAACAACAGGCTTTAAATCTTTTAATTGCTCTGCAGATGAGTTTTTCTGATTTTGACAAGAAATAACTGAATTGAAATAAGTGAGGTCTATTAGGGCATTTTTCCTGTAGCCAAGAGTTGCCTTTCCTGGACCTTGTAGAACTGCATTCATTAGTCCAATACCCACAGTTCCCTCCCCTTCTGCATACTCCAGAAGCTGAGACCTTCTTTTTAGATTATCTCTAGAAAAAAATATGTTCCTAGAAATGCCTTACCTATCATCCCTTTTCAAATGACCTTGTTTATCACAATGAAAACATCTGACATATTTATTTCTCTCAAAACTTTTAGAAATTACTTATCCTATCTGATAATATCATAAATGTCAAGGTTCAGGAATCACCACTCAGACCAAAAGTACAGCAAGAACTGTAATACATACCATAATACTGGATGTCCAGGTTTGCAAGAAGGAAAAACCTAACTGTGGCCCTAGTCTGCTCTCAGAGTAGAATTTTTACAGGAAAAACCAGGTTCGAAAGTTTAAAGGGCAAGATGGGGAGCAGTTGGCTTACTAGTATTATCAGCTAATGTTTAAGCTGATTGGTCCTGAGCAAGGTAAGGTGGGATGGTAGATGGGTGTTAAACAGTAATTTCAGAACATTGGGATAACAGAGTATGAGTATTATAATCATATTTTTTGGCTTGTTAGTGGCATTCTTCAGTGTTAGCCCAAAAAACACCCACAGTGGTCTCATATGTAGGTACAGGAAGGGCTGCCCAGTGGTCAGCTCCGACTCCAGCCATTTTAGACATATTTTGGACATAACTGTTCATATTGACATTTGATTTGATGGGTCCTACATAAAGCTTTGTGGAATTTCTTAAGATTGGCAAACCTCTTACAGAACATTCATAACAGACAGAACAAAACAGTGTGGTCAGCATGTCCTTGTCCCAAGTCACTTCTCTGTGTCAATGACTGACAGGCATGTTACAGCAACAGTATAAAATAGCATGGAACAAAATGACTACAGCTATTCTAGGGAGTAAGGTGTCAGACCATAACAATAAACATGACATCCAATATCAGCCATATTTCTTTTTCAAACTTCACTAATTTATTTTAATCCACCTTACAACTCTATTGCAACCCTCTGCCTGCTGTCCTTCCAGTCCCACCCTTACAAATTCCTTCCTCCATTACCCCCTTTCCAGAGAAGTGGAAGAAGCCCCTACCCCCACTTGGGTACCACCACACCTTGTGACATCTACTCTCAGCAGGACTAAAAATAATCTCTCTCTTTGAGACCCAACCAGGCAACCCTGTTAGGGGAGGGGATCCAATGGCAGGCAACAAGATTAAAAACAGCTTCTGCTCAAATTGTTAAGGAACCCACATGAATACCAAGCTTCACATTAGTTACAAATTGTATGTGCCCTGGGTCCAATTCTATTCCCTACTCTTCCACAAAACTCCCAAGTTCCACCTCATGTTTGGTTGTGGAGATCTGCCCCAGCCCCATGGGGCAGTGAACTAGGATCCAGGGGACCTGGAAGAGAGAACAGGAGGACAGGGAACACAAGCAACATGGCTTGTCTATACGCTGATCAAACCGTAATTTTAAGTTTTTCACACACAAAAAGGCAGAATGTGAGGAAGGGGATGATGCAGGAATGTGGGTTTTCAGGGGGAATACAGATTGTTCAGGGGGAGTACAGATATCTTCCAGAACAGAGTGTCAGCTGGGTGAAGGTTCAGACCACTATGACTCTGCCTATGATTCACTTGTCTTTATCTAAGTTGGTACTATCCTCCAAGGTTACCTATCTACAAGGCCTATGAGTAGTAACCAGGCTTGGCAGACTTCCACCAAAGATGCCTGTTGACAATAACCCCCAGCTATCTGTTTCAGTGTTTTTCCACAGAGACTCAAGACTTGGTGCTAGCAGGCATGTATGTCAGGCCTATTGCTGATTTTAGGCCTTCAGTGTATAAGCAGGGCTGCCCCTGACAGAGATCTTCCTCCTAGCTGCCTGAGGATGCCCAGTCTGTTCCTGGCTTCCTTTGGATGAAGATGTAGAACCCTCAACTCCTCCTGTACCATGCCTACTTGGATGCTGCCATGCTTCCACCTTGATGACAATAAACTGAACCTCTGAACTTGTACGCCATCCCCAATTAAATGTTGTCATTTATAAGACTTGCCTTGATCATGGTGTCTGTTCACAGCAGTAAAACCCAACTAAGATTCTATCTATCTATCTATCTATCTATCTATCTATCTATCTATCATCTATCTATCTATCTCTATCTATCATATCTGAACTGTAAAGCTTGACTACTCTTAGCCATTTACTATTTGAATAATATTGCAAACACTTCATTATAATTAAATCAGAATCTGATATTACCATGTGTTTACTATCTAAACTTTAACTTGCATTACTTAATCATCTTAAGCTGTTTGTAATAGCAGCTATTAAAAAGACTGTGTCTAAGCCTTGTCTTCTTAAATGAGTTGCATAGGATCAATGCCTATCTAAGAGTAACAAAAATAATTTTAAATTTTCTATCAATATACAAAAATTTATACCAGTGAAAACCTTAAACATGTAATAATATGTAAGTTCTGTACTAAAGTAAGAAAATATAACTTCAATTCTGCATCAAAACTTAGAGGTTTCTACCAATGTAAGATTATGGCTATAAAATGTTTCATTTAAGAGTAAATTTATTAATCTCTTTCCATATAGTTAATTTCTTATAATTTTACTCTATCCCTCTTTGTTTCTTTTCAACTCCCTTCCCTTTATTTAAGAAAGAAAGGATAGTGAAGAGGAAAAGAAAGATAGAAATCCCAGAGTCTAATCTTTCTATTTAGTTTCCTCCCTGTCCAAAAGTATGACCATTTCCAAATTATCTCCTAACATGACAAAGCAATCTATAATTACAAAATAACTATAACCAGACACCCAAACCCAAGGAATCAGGATGACGAGTCTCCATAGTTTCTTCCTGCTGAATTGGAGAGATAAACTTTTTTTAAGGGATGGGGAGTATGCCCTACCTCCAGCCTTGAGCAGGCTTGAAAGGCCTTGTTTATTACAATAGACCAAATAATAGGACCTAGGTGGAGTTAACCACCTTGGCTGCACATACAACCTGCTACAGGAACTTAGAAGAATAAACTGCCCGCTGAGCTTGACTTGAGACATCTCCAGCAGTGACTAAGGATGGGTACCCCCACCCATTTCTGGCTGAAACAAGAAGGAGTTCAGTGGGGCTTTCCCTTTAAATGAGAAGAGCTGAATATTAAACTTCAAGCATTAATCAGAAAACTTTGTCTTGGCTTTATGTTTCTCTCACCCTTTCTTCATTTCTGGCCCCCCTTTCAGGTGAACCCAGTTGGTCCAAGGCCACTGGCGGCTACAGGTGGTGCTCCAATGAGGGACCTACTGAGAAATACAGTCTTAGGTGGACCGCTACGGAAAACAGAAGAAGAAGAGTATCCCACACTTAGTAAGTAATGAACAAACTCTGATACTAGCACTAGTGATCTTTTGGAGGCCATGTTCCAAGTGTGTTTTTAGTGGATACAGTCTAGGCTCAATAGGTGTTGACCCAACACCAACTTCACCTAGGGGGTAACATGGAAACATGGGCCAGGAGAATTCTAAACAAGCATTTGTTGACAGCCTAAGAGATTACTCAGGTGTACACCTCCTAAAGAAAGAGATAAAGACTTCGACCTTGAATATGAGAGAGAGAAAGTGTTTCAGAAAAGCAGTTGTCCTCTCTCTCTGGGCTGTGTCAGCAAAAAAGCAGGAAAAGGCTATTTCAGAGCTCTTCTGGGAACAGAAGAAAATTCAGGACACGCTACATTTTCTCTGGCTTCTACAGGAGAAATCCTTAGTTCTGCTTTCTCTGTCTATTGTCTCTCCTTGGCACACCAATCTGTCCATGTGTGTCAATTGTCTGTTTTTGTTTCGTTGTTTGAGGGATTGTTGTTCTGTTTCATGTTCAAAAGAAAAAATGATTAAAACTGCTAGGTATCTTCCCCTTGATGTAGTTTAACTTTGCTTTAAAGGCAGTCTTAATGTACACAGCAGAAGCTGATAAGTTACCCTACACTGTAACTATGGGTCAAGCTGAACTGGAGAAGCCTTTCCAGGAACTGATTGTCTGTACAAGGGACCAGCAGCTTTTTGGCTTCTATGAAAAGGAAGCTAGAAAAATCTTTGTGACAAGGTGCTTTTTTCTTGAAATTACAGCCAGAAAAAGGAGGAAAATTTTGTTTAGTGTAAATATATAAGATGTGTAGCCACTTAATTTTTGTTTCTGACTGGTTTTAAAAGTATAAGTATGTTATGCATGTCTTTATAGATTATTGGCCTATAAGTTATTGGGTATGATTAAAAATTTGCAACTTTGGTAACAGAAAGTTGGCTTAAAACTGGTAACTCAGGGTTGGAGTTATTCAGAAACCAGATGTAAAGATTTAAAACAATGTCTCTTTAATAAGATATTAACAGCTGCACTACCATGCATTCATATATAAGAACTAGCAACCAAACTTTGTAACTTGAAAGTAATGCACCTGGTGTTGATTTTAGAGAAAATGGATTTACATTGTTAAAAATTGGTTTTGTTTCCCAAAATTATGGTTATACTCTAATGTTGCAAAAAAATACTTAAAAATATAATTAAACTGCCAGTATGCCATTGGCTGTAGGTGGCTGTTCAATCATGAGCTTGGGATTTTTTGACTCACCCATGTTTATGTTTGAGAAGAGGATAGAGCAGGTAGAGTTGAATAAAAGTGTTAAAAACAGCTGTGGCACAGTACAGGCCTGCAGAAAGATAATCTTTGGGCCAGGCCTCAGGAAATAGGCACAGATTAAGAACATTTACATTTGAGTTAAGACAATGCAGAATGGACTCAGCAGAAGCTTGTATGACAGACATTCCTTTTGTCTTGTCATCCTGACCAGCCCCTAAAAAGGTGTTTTCCAGAATTTGTTTATTGCCTTGCTTGTTCCTTGCAAGCTTGGGGTCAGTCTCAGACCCAAAGACTTTCACAACAGACAGCTTATGGGCCAGCAGTTATAGATGATGATTATGCTGGAGGAATTAAAATTATGCCTGCTTCCCTCCATGACATTATAGCTGTGCCTGCTAATAAAAGAATTGTTCTAAGGGTAAGAGAGGAGAAGACTGGCCTTCAGTTTGGCCTTTATCTGATACTCTCACTCAGCTACAAGGGATTGGTTATCCCATTAATCCAAAACAAACTTCAAACTTAAGATTTATGAAACCAATGGGGCATTACAGCCTGACTGGCCTACTCCAGCTGCCATTCCAAGAAATACATATAGAATTATTATAGATTTAGAAGGTTGTTTTTGTACCATTCCTTTACACCCTGGTGAAGGTGAGATGTTCACATTCAGTGAATTTGCTTGCAATTTTGAGAGACTATGAAGTGATACCATTAGAAAAGTTTGCCTCAAGGAATGGCTAACAGCCCTTCATTATATAAAAAAATTGTTGTTGCTTTACTAGAAGAAGTTAAGAGTTTGAATCTTTCAGTGTATATTCATTGTGTGGTATTTTATTGGTTGATACCTCTGAAGGAGTTTTACTGCAAACCTTTGCTCTAATACAACGGCCTTTTAAAATTTGGGGGAGTGTTTTTGCTCCAGAAAAGATACAAAGGCAATATCTTTTCAATATTGGGACCTCAGTTATATCCTAAGCAGATTGTGGCACAGAAAATTCCAATAAGAATGAATAGTTGGGTCTGGAGATATGGCTCAGCAGTTAAAGGCTAGGCTCACAACCAAAAATATTGGAGTTCAACTCCCAGCAACCACATGGTGGCTCACAACCATCTGTAATGGGATCTAGTGCCCTCTTCTGGCTTGCATGTGTACATGCAAAAAATATGGTTTACTTTTAATGATTTCTAAAGGTTGATAGAAAATATTAACTAATGAAGGAGGAATAGCTTTGCAGAAAGCAGAGAAAGCTGTTAGTTATCAGCAGCTACGTTTTATAAACTATGATCAATTGTTGGCTGTCTGAGTTATTGCTACTCATGTGCTCACAGCAGTCCTTTGGCAAAAAAAAACCATTAATGTGGATTCATCCTTCTTCATCTGCAAGTAAAGTTTGAACATCCTATTATAAAACTGTTGCTGTGTTAATATAGGATTGTAAGACAGAATCCTGAAACTATTTTGGATGAAATGTTTATTCCTTATTCCAAACATCAATTAAATTTGTTATTGAAAAATACTGATATTTGGCCTACTGCATGGCAAAATTCTTAGGTAAATTTGATAATCATTATCCAAAAGAGAAGTGGTTACAGTTTTCCTCTATGCATGCTTTTGTATTTCCTGTAAATTTGCATGCAGCCCATAGTAAAGATGCTTGCTGTATTTACAGAAAGCTCATCTAATGAGAAGGCAGTAGATGTAATTAGAGCAAATGTACATTTTCTTGAGTTTCATGCTGCTTCAGCACAAATAATTGAATTATATTCTGTAGCCACTGTTTGAAATGCAAAAAAAAGAAAAGAAAAAAAAAGCTCTCAATTTGTGTACTCATAGCTAGTATATAGCTTATGGTTTGTAATTGATTAAAAGTCTTCCTTTTTTTATATATTGCTAATTCTCAAATTTTACAGTTATTTATAAAAATATAGCTTAATTTAAGAAACATGTATTGTTCTTTAACTTTATAAGACATTTAAAAGCTCATATTGGATTTCCTGGACCCCAGGGCAATGCCACAGCAGATTTGTATACAAGACAGATTATAGACCTTATAAAACAATTGGCCATACAATCTTATTCTTTACATCGTCAAAATAGTAAGAGCTTGAGACAATAATTTGGTATTTCTAGAGAGTGTGCAAATCAAATTGCAAAAACTTGTTCTCAGTATCCTCAATTTTTTCATAATGATGTTAAGCCTTGAAGATTTATATGTGATCAATTATGGCAAATGGATGTTACTCATTTTTGATTTTGGAAAATTAAAATATGTACACGTGACTTGACACCTTTCAGGATTTCTAGTTGCAACTGCTTTAACAAGAGAAGCAACTAAAAGTGTAATTAGTCGTTGCCTATATTATTTTTCTATGCTTGGTGTTCCATATCAGATTATAGATAATATAACTTGCTATTGCAGTCAAACATTTGAGATGTTTTGTTGACAATTTTATATTACCCATATTATTGAGATTCTTTATAATTCTCAAGGACAAGATATTATGGAACTTTAAAATAATATCTTCATAACTCTCTGAGTGTGAGAGGAGCAGCTACTGGTATTTCTGCCCTGGTTTTGCAAGGAACTCTGAAAAATTGGCTTTTATAAACTAATAAGAGGGGGAATTATACTCTCCAAGGTAACCAAAGGACATATTGCTTTTGTCTTATTTGCTTTAAATTTTTTGCAAACTAATACTAAAAGTCAGTCTGCAGCAGATCGCCACTGGCATCCAGTCATTTCCAGCTCATTTGCCAAGGTCAAATGGAGAGACCCCTAACTAATACATGGAATGGTCCCAACCCTGTTTTAATTTGGGATCACAGCTCAGTCTGTGTTTTTTCACAAAAAGAAAATGGAGCCCAATGGCTACCTCAAAGATTGGTCCTTCAAGTGGACACAAGTCCTGAGCCAAATAATTATGGTTCTAATGATGAAGATGGCTCAAAATTCCTATCAGCCAGCTGAGTTAACCTGGCATATAGTCTCCACTCCTACTAGAGAGTAAGTGTTTTTCATCAATATTTAAAGCCACCCACTATATACCTGGTGGCCAGACTTTGTGTCTGACCTCTGCTAATTAGCAGCTGGATTAGATACCTGGAACATTCCCACTTACAACTTTATTTTATACATTGCTTGGATAATCCTGTTGCTTTTAACCTTTGAACCTTGTATCTCAAACAGATTGGTTGCCTTCACACAGGATCTCTCTCAGCAAGCTCAGCTATTCATCATTAGCTCAGTTATCCATTGCTATGAAGAAATGCATTGAGTACATGCTCACAGGTCCTTTGGTCTGAATGTGGCTTTGCTCTGTATGGGAAAGAGTATGTCAAAGATGGGTATGAGTGTTCTTGAGCTCCTATAGACCTAAGACAGAGGCCTACATCAATAATGCTATGTATGTTTTCCATGACAGGTAATAAGGAGCAATATAGACACCAACCTAAACAAGGCACGGTCGCCCGGTCACACTTTATCCTAGATGGAATGAAAACTTGTGCCCCATCCAGCTGCTGGCACTGCTCATCTTTCAAAAACTAGTAAGGGAGAATTGTGCCCTCCCCCGAGCCTTGAACAAGCATGAAAGACTTTGTTTACCACAATAGACCAAATAATAGGACCTAGGTGTAATTATCCACATTGGCTGCACATACAACCTGCTACAGGAACTTAGAAGAATAAACTGCCTGCTGAGCTTGCCTTGAGACATCTCCAGCAGTGACTAAGGATGGGTTCCCCCACCCATCTCTGGCAGTGACTAAGGATGGGTTCCCCCACACATCTCTGGCTGAAAGAAGAAGGGGTTCAGTGGGGCTTTCCCTTTAAATTAGAAGAGCTGAATATTAAACTTCGAGCATTAATCAGAAAACTTTGTCTTAGCTTCATGTTTCTCTCACCCTTCCATCCCTTTCTTCATTTCAGGCCCCCTTTCAGGTGAACCGAGTTGGCCTGTGGCCACAGGCAGCTACAAGAAGGGATAGGAAAATGAGAAAAATTGGTTAGATTTAAGAAAGATTGCTTTAGCATTTGTTATCCAGTCTCTGTATGCTTTGAAAGTTCAGGGCTTAACTAAAGTTCTAACTGGATTTGTCTGAAAATCTGGATGAACCGAGGTCATTGGGAATCACCAGCTATTCTGGAAGCTTTTCTGGAAACAAGTATCTGGAAACAGCATCAGGTGAGGCAGAATCAGGCAGGGAGCTGGAACAGTGCGTCATCTCATCATCCCTGGGATGAATCTTGTCAGAGTTGTACCTTGAGTGTTTCATTCTGCAACATATGAATCTTACAACCAAAAAATTTGTGTGGATTGTGCAAGATGCATAGATCAGTTAAGGATGAATTTTTGCTCCTTATTTGAACAGGTGAAAGACAACTGTCTTTTTTATGACTTAGTTGATCAAAAACCAGTTGCAATAAATCTTCATTTATGCCGTTTGACGGATGAGATGATGAGTCTTAAGGATTCCATATCCAACAAGATTTATTGGCTAATTTTAGTTGAAGTTTTGGCTAGAGACATTTTTATGTCTCAGCCAGTTTCAAGGATGTCCTACTTTGGATAGATCAACAATTTATGTCACCTGCCCTGTTTGCTTGAATTTTTCTTTCCTCTCTGTAGCCAAGATCTTCAGGGTTTCTTCCCCTATCATATCTGATCCATATTTCTTTGGAAGGTGCTCAACATCTTTTCTTTTTTCTTGTTAAAACAAATAAAGAGCCTCTCTCCCAATATAGCATATCCTTGGTCCAGCAACCCGAAATCAATTGGTTCAATTTTGTAGCCTCTTTTTTCTAAGGGCCTGCTCTCTCTGACCTCTCTCCTAAAGGATTAGTAGTCTCATTAATACCACCAAATGTATAATCACCTTCATTTTGATAATTAAAACAACTCAAATCAATTTAAAAATTTCAAACAATTCTTATTTGTTGAAATAGAGCTTCTTTCTATCTCTATGTCTTTGGTTCTAAATTTGAGATCAAAGGCCTGAATTTCTTTAATTCCTCTCTCTTATGGAGATTAGTATCTGTGGCTATATTTATGTCCCCCTTCTCTTTATATAATGTAAATCAACATCCTCTTCCTATATATTTAACTTCAATTAAATTCCCTTCAATTTTCTGCTCTGCTGCCTGACTTCATCCAGCAGGAGCTGCCAGCATCCAATGCTTAAGCTCTTGCAGCAGCACAGAGCCCAAAAGAGCTTCTGGCTGAATCACTAGCCCACCACCTACATCCGTGGGTTGGCCTGGATGTGTCCTAGTCTTAAGCCACAACCTCCAGAACCACATGTGCCAAACTAGCATGAACTTCTTTTCTAGTTCCAAACCTGTGCGGCTTGGGAAGGAACCACATGGCTCAGCTCAGCTTAGCTGAGAAATTAATTGTCCATGCCTCTTAATCTTAAAGGGAAGGCATGTATATTTCATTCAGGAATCTCCAATTAATTTTTAAGAATGAGTTCTTGCGGGGCTGGAGAGATGGCTCAGGGGTTAAGAGCACTGACTGCTCTTCCAGAGGTCCTGAGTTCAATTCCCAGCAACCACATGGTGGCTCACAACCATCTGTAATGGGATCTGACGCCCTCTTCTGGTGTGTCTGAAGACAGCTACAGTGTGCTCATATAAATAAAAATAAATCTTAAAAAAAAAAAAAGAATGAGTTCTTGCCAAACATTGGACATCATCTGTTGAATTGAATATTAATAAGACCAAAGGTGATTTTGCTACTCACCTCAGATTATATTCCTGAATGAAAGACACACACAGTCTTTATATTTTAATATGCCTTTAACAGCACAATAGCTGAACTACTGTCTAATTTCCACTTCCTGCCAATAATCCTGAGTTATTATTATTAACTAAATTCTACCTTCTATCTTGGCTGCTCTAGACCCAGAGGGCTGCCAACTAGGCCACGCTCTGGGCTTCACTGTCCTTGCTCCTTGATATGGCAACCATGCTTCTCTGTTCTGCATTGTTGTGTGATATCACATCTCTCCTCTCTTCCACTATCTCCCAGCATGATCTCCTTCCTCCTACTACACCCCATCCTAAACCTGGGTATCCTAAGGTCCCACATCTGTCTGCCCTGACCTGCCATTAGCTGTCAGCATCTTTATTTACCAACCAGAACCAACTGGGGGCAGGTTCCCAGAAGCTACATGCAGACAATTTTGTAAGCAGTTGTGGAGACCTAGATTAACATTAGAATACAAGCAGCATCAGGTCAAACTCACTACTCAGTCACAAAAAAAGCCTCAACAGCTACAAGAGAATTGAAATAAATCCTTGCATTATATCAGACCACCATGGGTTAAATAAAGCCAGACTCTAACAACAACTGAAAGAATGGAAAACCTACATATTCATTGTTGAGGCCTGCTCCTCTTAACATAACTGTACCCATTTTGTGTTCATGTTCATTTCCCCCATAAGGTGAAAAGTTAGGTTCTTAGACTCTGCTTCCCAGAAGTAATATTGATATCTGACACTGAAAAAAATCTCCTAAAGGGTCAGATCATGAGGTTGGAAGACACAGGAGTTTGATCTAGATCTTGGGGCACAGGGGTCATGAAAAGCTTAGGCCCAAGCAAGGTGGTATATACCTTTAATTCCAGCATTCAGGAAACAGAACCATGCAGATATCTGAGTTCAAAGTCAGTTTACAGAGCCAGTTCGAGGACAACTAACCTCAGGCAGTGAAGAAGTTGACAAACAGAAAACTGGTGAGGTAATACAACAATGGGGGCATGTTCCAGCCCCCAAAAGCATCAGAGCTCCAGATCATCAGCCATGTGACTCTGGCTTTAGAGTCAAGCAAGAATAAAAAGGACTACTTGGACAATTGATGCTGGTGAGCTGGAACTAATAAATTAGGGTGATTAAAAAGAGACCAGCATCACTGAGGTGAAATCATTTGTGAAGTATTTTCTGCGAGCACACACACACAAAAGAAAGTGTTTCAGAGATTGCTAAGGTTCTACCTTGTGCTGCAGCTGAACTTGGTAATGTATAAGAATCATCCAGATGGTGTTGGTTTTCAAGACATGATGGGGTCATGTAGAGCAGCTGAGGCTTAGCACTGTGAAAGGCCAGGAAGGCCATTGGTAAAGTTCCAGCCTCAGTTGCAATTGACAACCGGAGACTGAAGGGGCCATCCAAAAAAGGTGAGGCTTGGCATCATGAAGAGAGCTTATGAGAGGCTTTTGGTGAAGCTTAGTTGCAGCTAAAAAGTCCACCAAACTGGAGATGCCAGTATCACCAAGAACAGCAGCAACAGTGGAATGGAGTCAACCAGAGCCTAGAGTACTACGGAGGGTATAGCTGGAGAAGTGATGCAAGCCCCTTGGAGGAATCCAGAAGGTCATGTGTGAACCCCAGACATTGGGACAAGAAGCTCTAAAGTTGAAGTTGTCTTGCATAACCCAAGATGTAGAAAGTCAGAGCTGTGTGATACTTGCCAAGGAAAGCTTCTAACAGGGAGTGGAACCAGTCCAAGAGAATGAAGTTTGTTGTTGCTGATTGCCAGATCTACCAACATCAGTCAACAATGGTGAAAGGAGTTGTAGATATGAAGAGCTCTTTAACATCAGACATGGAGATGCAAAGGTTGGAGTTTGACCAGATGGGTTTTGGTATTGCTATGGTCCAGTACTTCCTTGCTATGATATTTAGAAGGGTAATGTAAATCCTGTGCCATGAGATGTTGGAGGTGTAGGTACCAGGCCTGAACTCAGTGACGTCACATCCAGGCGACCCTACATTGTTGCCAAGGCAACTGCCATACACTCCCAGAATCCACCTACCTACCTCACCTTCACCTGGGAAAAGGCTACGTCACCGCCCATATAAATAGGCAGAACTCCCTGACCTTGCTCTCTCTTCTCCTTGCCATCCCTCCCATTTCTCTCCCCACCTTTACCCTCCTCCCTGAATAAACCCCCTCCCCTCGTGGAACCATTTGGTCTGGTGTTATCTGTCCTAAGCTACGCACCAAAGTCTAACAGGAAGCATATGATCTGCTTTTTTATTTTTGATTTTATAGGGAATTACAGTTAAGACATTAGATGACTCTCAGAAGAGACTTTGAACTTTGGACTTTTAACATTGTTGAGACTGCTATAGACTACGGGGATTTTTGAAGTTAGACAAAATATATTTTGCATTATGCTATGTCTAGGTATGGCCCCCATAGACTCATGTGTTTGAACAAGCCTATGGGGGCCAGGGAATGGCATGTGGTGGTTTGAATATGCTTGTCCCAGCGAGTGACACTATTAGGAGGTGTGTCCTTATTGGAGGAAGTGTATCACTATTTGGGTGGGATTTGGGACCCTATTCCAGGCTGCCTGGGAGACAGTCTTCTCCTGAGTGCCTTTAGATAAAGATATAGAACTCTCAACTTCTCCAGCACCGTGACTGCCTGGATGCTGCTATGTTTCTTACCATGATGATATTAGATTGAACCTCTGGGCCTGTAAGTCTGCCCCAGTTAAATGTTGTTTCATGTTAGAGTTGCCTTGGCCAAGGTGTCTCTTCTCAGTAATGGAAACCCTAGCTAACAGGCTTCTGTGACAACCCCTATCCACACCCCCTCAAAAAATTAACAGCCTAGACAGGAAGCCATTAAAGAGAAGTCTTAAAATTTGTAATAAGGATGTTGAGGTGAAACTCTCTACAATTGATGGCTCCTGGCAGCAGTGTTAATGAGGAA